TTACATTTCAGCATGTAATTAATATAAAATTATTAATGATATATTTTACATTCATTTTTTAATGATCTTCTATATCCAATGTATATTTTGTGCTTATGGTACTTCTTAGGTCAGACCAGCTACATTTCAAGTGTTGAGTAGCCCCATGTGCTAAATGGTCACTGTAGTAGACAACACAGCTCTGTATCTTTTTTTTTTTTTAAGATTTTATTTATTTATTTGAGACAGAGAGAATGAGAGAGAGAGAGCACATGAGAGGGGGGAGGGTCAGAGGGAGAAGCAGGCTCCCTGCCGAGCAGGGAGAAGCAAGCTCCCTGCCGAGCAGGGAGCCCGATGCGGGACTCGATCCCGGGACTCCAGGATCATGACCTGAGCCGAAGGCAGTCGCTTAACCAACTGAGCCACCCAGGCGCCCTCACAGCTCTGTATCTTAATCTGAGTTGTGGTTATATATAAAAAATTATCAAATCATAAACTTAAAATTTGTGCATTTTACTTTGTGTAAATTATAGTGCAATAAAAGAGAGAATGAAACTTTACTAAAAAAGGCAAATTTTAAAATTTGAAAGAGGGCTAAAATCAGGACACCTTGTTGGCTCACCTTGTTGGTAGAGTATGCAGCTCTTGATCTCAGGGTTGTGAGTTCAAGCCCCACGTTGGGTGTAGAGCTTACTTAAAAAAAAAAATAATAATAATAATAATCAGTGCTAAAATGAGAGAGTGGGGATAGAGTAACCAGGCAAAGAAAGAATGGATTACATCCATAAATCTGTTTCTCATCATAGCAGGAAAATCCACCAGCACGCAGGATCCCCAAGACTGGATTAGAAAACCACAAAAGGTCAGTTGGTGGAATCTAATCAAGAGCTTGGTCCTCAGGGGTGCCTGGGTGGCTTAGTCAATTAAGCGTTGGGCTCTTGGTTTCGGCTCAGGTCATGATCTCAGGGTTGTGAGATCGAGCTCTGCATTGGGCTCTGCGCTGCGTGTGGAGCCTGCTTGAGATTCTTTCTCTCCCTCTCCCTCTGCCCCTCCCCACCTCTCTAAAAAAAAAAAAAGGAGTTTGGTCTTCAGTCTTCGGTATTGTATCTTAATTTTCTAGTGTGTTACATATAACATGTAACTAATAACAGAAGTCGGGTACTGACAACTTTACTGAGCCCTTGCCAAATGCTTAGGATGGTGCTAAGAACTTTCCGGCATGATCTCATTGAAACCTCTCCACAGCCCTATCGAGGTTGATTTCCCTTATGACCCTCCCATTTTACAGACCACGAAACCAAGGTTCAGTTAACTTGCCCAAGATCACTCCACTCAGGAGTGGCAAAGAAGGGGTTTCGACCCAGGTTCCCTAGCTTCTGGTCTGGTATTTTTTTTTTTTTAAAGATTTTATTTATTTATTTGAGACAGAGAGAATGAGAGAGAGAGAGCACATGAGAGGGGGGAGGGTCAGAGGCAGAAGCAGGCTCCCCGCCGAGCAGGGAGCCCGATGCGGGACTCGATCCCGGGACTCCAGGATCATGACCTGAGCTGAAGGCAGTCGCTTAACCAACTGAGCCACCCAGGCGCCCCTGGTCTGGTATTTTTAACCACTTCCTCTACTGAAGGCTGAAAATGCTTTATTTGGTTTATAACAGATAAATAAGTAGATGAAGAAGGGAAAGAAATAAGCAGATGAGGAAGAGTGGACTCAAGGTGATGTCTGTAAATAATATCACTCTTGCTCCCTGGCCTTAAGACATGTTCTCTTGAGGGAGAGAGGAAGAGGTGGGTTATGTAGAGCTTTACCTGAATGCCCATGGAAGCGTGCGTCACATGGGAATGCCATTCATCAGCGTGCCCCAATTTCAAAAGGTTAAGAACAGCTACCATGGAGAGCCTCTGATGTCCCTTTCTTGCTCTACAGAGAGAGAAACTTAGAGATCAGATAGAGGTGTCTTGCCCAAGGTTACACGGGTCGTACTTGGTGGCTCCATCTTTCCAACTTCATTTCCATTGAATGAATTAAATATGCCTTTTCCACCGTGTCACTTCCTTTAGAGGTATCTTTTTTTTTTTTTAAGTTTTATTTGTTTAAGTAATCTCTATACCCCACCTGGGGCTCAAACTCATGACCCTAAGATTAAGAGTCACATGCTCCTCTGACTGAACCAGCCAGGCACCCCATTATTTTAGAAGTATCTAAGCATTCCTGGGGTGCCTGGCTGGCTCAGTTGGTAGAGCATGCGACTCTTGATCTTGGGGTCATGAGTTTGAGTCCCATGTTGAGTGTAGAGTTTAGAAAAATGATAGATAGATAGATAGATAGATAGATGATAGATAGATAGATAGATAGATAAAAATAAACAATCCTGAATAAGACTTGCTGCCAGTCTAAAGGGACAAATTATACCAAGCAAAATATGAGGAACTTAAGAGAGCTTTGGAGGCGCAGGGGAGGGAGAATGTATAGTGAGTTGGAGAGGAAAGGGAAGATTTGTGTGTGAGCTGGATCAGGAAGGCAGAAATAGAGGAGTGGGTAATCCCCAAAGGAGAGCCACTGGGCACCTGTGTTGGGTGAATTGTATATTTCCCATCTGCCCAGCTATTGCCCTGCCTCTACTGTCCGGCATGGTGCTGGGTCTACATGAAGGCTCAATCAGGGGGCACCTGGGTGGCTCAGTCGGTTAAGTGTCCTGGGGTCCTGGGATTGAACCCTGTGTCAGCCTCCCTGCTCAGTGGAGAGTCTGCTTCTCCCTCTCCCTTTGCCTGCTGCTCCCTTTGCTTGTGCTCTCTCTCTCTCTCTGTCAAATAAATAAATAAAATCTTTTTTTTTAAAAAAGAAAGAAATGTAGAGAGAAGGGTGCATTCATTCATTCATTCATTCGACGTTTACTAAATGTCTATTATGTTCCACCCATAAAGCTAAGTGCTTTACCTGGGACTTCAGTCAAATATACTAACTGTCCCCAGGTCCAGGTCTCTCTAACTGACATAATAGAACAACAGGGGCGCCTGGGTGGCTCAGTCATTAGGCGTCTGCCTTCGGCTCAGGTCATGATCCCAGGGTCCTAGAATCGAGCCCCGCATCGGGCTCCCTGCCCCTGCTTGTGTTCCCTCTCTCTCTGTGTCTCTATCAAATAAATAAAATCTTAAAAAAAAATAGTAGAACAACAACAGTAAGAGTAGGAATTATGATTACCATTTATCACATGCTTACAATGTGCCATGTGCTTTGCTAAACAATTTACATTAATTGACTCATTTAGCATCCCCACCCCCACCCCGGCCCAAACTGAGGTACACACAGCAAAGATATAAGATGGTGGAATTTGAATACAGGCAGGTTCTAAACTACCCTTTAAAAAAAATGTATTTATTTTGGAGCTAGAGATAGAGAGCATGGTGGGGCGGGGGGGAGGTGGGAACAGAGGGCAAGGGACAAACAGACTCTGTGCTGAGTGCAGAGCTGGAGCGGGTTTTGATCCCACAACCGGGAGATCCTGACCTGACCCAAAATCAAGAGTTGGATGCTCAACCGATGGAGCCACCCAGGAGCCCCTCGTTTCTTTTTTTTTAAGGTTTTATTTATTTATTTATTTGAGAGAGAGAGGGAGTCTGATGTGAGAGTGGGGGGAGGAGCAGAGGGAGAGGAACAATCAGACTCTGGGCTGAGCGAGAAGCCAGACATGGGGCTCACTCTCACAAACTCTGAGATCATGACCTGAGCTGACGTCAAGAGTCAGCTGCTTAACTGACTGAGCCACCCAGGCACCCCACTTTTTTTAAAGTAAACTCTGCCGCCAACGTGGCATTTGATCTCATGATCCCAAGATCACAAGTCTCATGCTCTACCAACTGAGTCAGCCAGACACCCCTAAACCACTCTTGGATTCAATCACTTGTACCCATCTTCTCATTCACCATGCAAGTCTAGGCACTACGTCATCAGCAAGATGTGCCTGCAATAGCACATCTGATCATCCAGAACCTGCTGTTGCCCTCAGTCCCAGCTCCAATGGCTCTCTCAAAGCCCTGCACAGTCTGGCCTCTGCCTCTCTCTACAATTTCACGTCCCCCACACCCTACCTCCCTTCCACCCTCTGATCAGCTGGCCTTTCAGAGCCTGGAATCACCAAGCTCTTTCTCAACTGGGGGCCTGTGAACAGCCTTCCTCCAGCCTGGAGCATCCATCCTTCAGCTTGGAGCACTCTTTCTTCTGCTAGAGCACCCTGCCCTCTGCCTGGAGCACCCTGCCCTTGACCAGCCTGCAGAGAGATACAGCGAGAGAGGGAACACAAGCAGGGGGAGTGGGGGAGGGAGAAGCAGGCTTCCCACGGAGCAGGGAGCACGTTCATCTTAGCCTGGACCCTTTGCGCCAGCCTGATCATGCGTCCCCCAGACCGGAACACCCCCCTCTCTCTTCCATGCTTGGTTACTTCCTTTCCATCTTTCAGATTGGGGCATAAATGTCACTTTCTCAAAAAAAAAAAAAAAAGGGCGCCTGGGTGGCTCAGTTGGTTAAGCGACTGCCTTCGGCTCAGGTCATGATCCTGGAGTCCCGGGAATCCCGCATTGGGCTCCCTGCTCAGCAGGGAGTCTGCTTCTCCCTCTGACCCTCCTTCCTCTCATGCTCTCTGTCTCTCATTCTCTCTCTCTCAAATAAATAAATAAAATCTTAAAAAAAAAAGAAAAGAAAAGAAAAGAAAAAAGACACTTCCCTGATCACTTCTCTAATCCCTTATTCCTTTGCCTTCCCCCCATTTTTCCCCTTGTAGTACCTGTCATGGCATGTGTTTGTGTGTGTGGACTGCTTGGTTAATGTCTGTGAATCCTTAGGTCATAAACTCCTTGAAATTAAAGACTGTTTTCTTATTCCCCATTGTTTGGCTAGCACATAGTTGGCACTCTATAAATCTTGGTGGAATGAACAAGTAGGTAAATACTGTGATAGACACATTACCCTCCTTAAGCCTCAAGTACAGTAGTCTCCCCCTCCCCTTATCCGTGGTTTCTCTTTGCAGGGTTTCAGTTACCCCCGGTCAAACATGGGTCTGGAAGCAGACAATCCTCCTTCTGACCATCCTCAGAAGGTCAGTAGTAGCCTAACACTAGGTCACAATGCCTACATCATGCACCTCACTTCATCTGATCACCTAGGCATTTGATCATCTCCCATCATCACAAGAAGAAGGGTGAGTTTTGCTTTGTTTTTGTTTTTAAAGTATTCTTTATTTTTTTTTTTTTTTAAAGATTTATTTATTTATTTGACATAGAGACAGCGAGAGAAGGAACACAAGCAGGGGGAGTGGGAGAGGGAGAAGCAGGCTTCCCACTGAGCAGAGAGCCCGACGCGGGGCTCGATCCCAGGACCCTGGGACCACAACTGGAGCCGAAGGCAGAAACTTAACGACTGAGCCACCCAGGCGCCACAGGTGAGTTTAATACAGTAAGACATTTTAAGAGTCAGAGAGACCACATTGCCGTAACTTTTATTTCAGTATATTGTTACAATTGTTCTATTTTATTATTAATTCTTGTTGTTAATCTCTCCCTGTGCCTAATTTATAAATTCAGCTTTATCATAGGTATGTATGTATAGGAAAAGACACAGGACACCTAGTGTTGGGTTCTATCTATGGTTTCAGGCATCTCCTGGGGGTTCTTGGAATGCATTCCCTGCAGATAAGCAGGGGGATGACTGTGATAATAATAATCACTGTTGTTTATCGAGCTCTTATTTCAGGGCAAGCACTTTCACATGCTACTGCATTAACTCAGATAAATATGATGCATATATAATTATTATTATCTCTATGTTACAGATGAGGACACTAAGGTTCAGAGAAGTGTCACCACCTGGCCAAGGTCACATGGCTTCCACCCAGGCCTCTCCTCTGCAGGTGTGACTCACCCCCCATACCACACTGCCTCCCTGAGAGTGGGTCCAGGCCCTTATATCCCTGCTTCCCTCTCCTGTCTCTTCCTTCAGTTCCTCCAGGGAGTGGTTCCTGCCTTGAATTCTTTAGCTGGCAAAAGAGGATCAGAAGGTCTGTCAGGATCTGGCTCCTTGATATAGTCAATAATGATCAATGTTATTGTTAACTGAGCGGTGACCAGGTGCCAGAGCCCACATTCCTTCGTATACCCTCACAGAGCCCTCATAGCCACGCTATGAAGTAAGGACTATTATCTGAGGCTCAGGAAGGCAAAGCTGCTCGCCTGAGGTTAGACAACTAGGAAATAGAGCCAGGGTTCCAGCACTTGTCCTTCTGTTATCAGACTTTGTGACCCAGAAGAGGGAATACAGATCCACTCTGGAGTGTTCTTTTCCACCCCACGCCACGTAGTTCCAGCTGTCCCTTTAGAAGGACTACTGACCTCACTTTGTCATCAGGACCAGCAGGTGCCAGAAAGGGTTGAGAGCCTTGGGAGCACTCAAGATGGTCCACCAAGAAAAGACCAGACCTTCTAGATGTATTTTCTCTATCTCATCTTTTAAAAATTTCTTTTGTGTATGTTTTATAACATAGTTATGATAAAAGCATAATTGGACACCTTTATATAAATAGGTAAATCTATATATATTAGCAATATGGGCTCAAAGATTGTTTCCTCTTAGGGATGTATAATCACAAAAATTTAGAGGTCATTGGTTAAGACAGTAAAGACAAGGATTAAAATAATTATATAGAATATCTACATATAAAAGAATGATGTTAGGTCCCTACCTCACACCATATTAAAAAATGAATGCAGGGCGCCTGGGTGGCTCAGTCGTTAAGCGTCTGCCTTCAGCTCAGGTCATGATCCCAGGGTCCTGGGATCGAGTCCCACATCGGGCTCCCTGCTCGGCGAGAAGCCTGCTTCTCCCTCTCCCATTCCCCCTGCTTGTGTTACTGCTCTCGCTATCTCTCTCTCTGTCAAATAAATAAATAAAATCTTTTAAAAAAAAAAATGAATGCAAAATGGATCAAAGGTCTAAAACTATAAAACTTTTAACAGAAAACATAGGGGTAAATCTTCATGACCTTGAGTTTATCAATGGCTTCTTAGTTATGTGCCCAAAGCAGAAGCAACAAAAGAAAAATTGGACCTCATCAAAATTAAACATCCTTTGTGCATCAAAGGACATAATCAAGAAAGTGAAAAGACAACTACAGAATGGGAAGAAATACTTGCAAGTTTTATATCTGATAAGGGTCTAGTACCCAGAATTTATATAAGGAACTCTTTTTTTTTTTTTTTTTAAGATTTTATTTATTTGACAGAGAGAGACACAGTGAGAGAGGGAACACAAGCAGGGGGAGTGGGAGAGGGAGAAGCAGGCTCCCCGCCGAGCAGGGAGCCGGATGCGGGGCTGGACGCGGGGCTGGACGCGGGGCTGGACGCGGGGCTGGACGCGGGGCTCGACGCGGGGCTCGACGCGGGGCTGGACGCGGGGCTCGACGCGGGGCTCGACGCGGGGCTCGACGCGGGGCTCGATCCCAGGACCCCGGGATCATGACCTGAGCCGAAGGCAGATGCTTAACAACTGAGCCACCCAGGCTCCCCTTGTTATTGAGTTATAAGAGTTCCTTATATGCGGGGCGCCTGGGTGGCTCAGTCGTTAAGCGTCTGCCTTCAGCTCGGGTCATGACCCCGGGGTCCTGGGATGGAGCCCCTCATCAGGTTCCCTGCTCCGCAGGGGAGCCTGCTTCTCCCTTTCCCACTCCCCTTGCTTGTGTTCCTTCTCTAACTGTGTCTCTCTCTGTCAAATAAATAAATAAGAGCTTTTAAAAAAATAACTCAATAATAAAAAGACAAACAACCCATTTTAATTAATTAATTTTTAAGTAGGCTCCACGCCCAACATGGGGCATGAACTTAATACAACAGTCGTGTACTCTACTGACTGAGTGTCCCAGGCACCCTGGCAAACAACCCATTTTAAAATGAGCAAAAAAGGGGCGCCTGGGTGGCTCAGTCGTTAGGCGTCTGCCTTCGGCTCGGGCCATGACCCCAGGGTCCTGGGATCGAGCCCTGCATCAGGCTCCCTGCTCAGCGGGAAGCCTGCTTCTCCCTCTCCCACTCCCCCTGCTTGTGTTCCCTCTCTAGCTGTGTTTCTCTCTGTCAAATAAATAAATAAAATCTTTTAAAAATAAAAAATAAAAATGAGAATAAATAAAATGAGCAAAAAAGGGGCAACTCTTGATCTCGGGGTCATGAGTTTGAGCCCCACATTGGGTGTAGGGATTACTTAAATAGATAAATAAAATAAACTTAAAAAGATAAATAAATAAAATGAGCAAAAGAGTTGGTGCATATTTCTCCAAAAAAGATACACTACTGACCAAATAAAAAGATGCCCCAAATAAACTGATGGTTGCCTGAGGGGAGGGAGGGTGGGGGAATGGACAAAATGGGTGAAGGGGATTAAAAGGTACAATCTTCTAGTTATAGAATAAATAAGACATGGGATGTAATGCACAGCATAGGAAATATAGTTGATAATATTGTAACAATTCTGTTTTTTTATTTTTTTAAAAAGATTTATTTATTTATTTGAGAGAGCGAGAATGAGAGAGACAGAGAGAGAATACATGAGAGGGGGGAGGGTTAGAGGGAGAAGCAGGCTCCTCGTTGAGCAGGGAGCCCGATGCGGGACTCGATCCCTGGATTCCAGGATCATGACCTGAGCCGAAGGCAGTCGCTCATCCAACTGAGCCACCCAGACACCCACAATTCTGTTTTTTTTAAAGATTTATTTATGAGAGAGAGAGAGAGAGAGAGAGCAGTGCATGGGGGGAGGGTCAGAGGGAGAGAAAGAGAAACTCAAGCAAGAGTCCCTGCCCAGCGTGGAGCCCCATGCAGAGCTCCATGACCCTGAGATCATGACTTGAGCCCAAATCAAGATTCAGACGTGCTTAACCGACCGAGCCACTGAGGTGCCCCATGTTTTTTTCTTTTTTAAGATTTTATTTTTAGGAGCATCTGGGTGGCGCAGATGATTGGGCGTCCAACTCTTGGTTTCCACTAGGGTCATGATCTTGGTGTCCTGGAATGAAGCCCTGTGTTAGGCTCTGCGCCCAGTGGGGAGTCTGCCTCAGATTCTCTCCTCTTCTCCCTCTGCCCTCCTGCTCATGCTCTCCCTTTCTCATTAAAATAAATAAATAAGATTTTATTTTTAAGTAATCTCTACACCCAGTGTGGGGCTCGAGCTCACAACCCCGAGATTAAGAGTCGTGTGCTCCACTCACTGGGCCAGTCAGGCGCCCCTGTAACAAATCTGTATGGTGACAGATGATAATAAGATTTACTGTGGTGACCATCTTGTAATGTATATAAATATTGAGTCACTGCGTTGTACACCTAAAATGAATACAATATTGTATGTCAATTATTCTTCAATTAAAAAAAAAAAAGAAATAATGGGGAACCTGGCTGGCTCAGTCAGTAGAGCATGGACTCTTGACCTCAGGGGTTGTGAGTTCAAGCCCCACACAGGGGGGTAGATATTACATTAAAAAAAATAAAATAAATTTTTTTAAAGATTTTATTTATTTATCTGACAGAGAGATACAGCGAGAGAGGGAACACAAGCAGGGGGAGTGGGAGAGGGAGAAGCAGTCTTCCCACGGAGTAGGGAGCCTGATGCAGGGCTCGATCCCAGGACTCCGGGATCACGACCTGAGCCAAAGGCAGACACCTAAGGACTGAGCCACCCAGGCGCCCCAAAAATAAAATATTTAAAATAAATAAATAAATAAAATCTTTAAAAAATAGAAAGAATGAAAAAAAAGATGCTCAACATCATTAACCATAAGGGAAACACAAATCAAAGCCACAGTGAGATACCACTTCATACCCACTAGGATGGCTATAATTAAAAAAAAAAAAAAAAAAAAACTTAAAGGGCTCCTGGGTGGCTCAGTCAGTTAAGCATCTGCCTTTAGCTCAGGTCATGATCCCAGGGGTCCTGGGATCCAGGCCCACATCAGGCTCCCCGCTCAGTGGGGAGTCTGCTTCTCCCTCTCCCTCTGCCGTTCCCCCTCCTTGTGATCTCTTGCTCTCTCTGTTAAATAAATAAATAAAATCTTGAAAAAATAAAAAAATAAACAAGAAAAATTACAAGAATTGGCAAGAATGTGAAGTTGAAACCTTCTGTACGTTACTGGTGGGTATGTAAAATGGTGTGGTGCTCTGGAAAACACTTAGACGGATCCTCAAAAAATTAAACATGGAATTATCCATGACCCATCTACTAACCGTATATCTGAAAGAACTGAAAAC